GAGTCTGTACTGCCAAAAATACACCACCATCTACACCAGTCCCACTTCCCCACAGTAGGTCCATAACCTTCAATGTTATAACGCTTCATGCATTCATCCAAGTACTTTTTAAAGGTTTTGAGATTTCTTGTCTCAACTATTTGGCAGTACAGATTTGACAGGCCAAATGGCCTCTTCTGTACTATGATACCCACCCAGGCAATGCACTCCAACCCCCACCAACCTCTGGGTGAAAAGCGTTTTCCTCAAATCCCCTCTACGCCTCCTGCCTTTCACTTTAAAATTGTATGCTTTTGTTCTTGACCCTTCAACTGGGAGGAACAGCTGTTTCCTATCCACCTGTCCATGCTGCTCATAATCGTATACATCTCCTGACTCCCCAGAGCCTGTCCACCATCTACAAGGCACAAGTCAGGAGTGTGATGGAGTACTCCCCACTTGCCTGGATGAGTGCAGCCCCAACAACACTCAAGAAGCTTGACACCATCCAGGACAAAGCAGCCTCTTGACTGGCACCACATCCACAAGCATCCACTCCCTCCACCACCGATGCTCAGTAGCAGCAGTGTGTACCATCTACAAGATGCACTGCAGAAATTCACCAAAGATCCTCAGGCAGCACCTTCCAAATCCACGACCATTTCTATCTAGAAGGACAAGGGCAGCAGATACATGGGAACACCACTATCTGCAAGTTCCCCTCCAAGTCACTCACCATCCTGACTTGGAAGTATATTGCCATTCCTTCGCTGTTGCTGGGTCAAAATCCTGGAATTCCCTCCCTTATGGCATTGTGGGTCAACCTACAGCAGGTAGACTGCAGCGGTTTAAGAAGGCAGCTCACCACCACCTTCTCACAGGCAACTAGGGATGGGCAAGAAATGCTGGCCAGCCAGCAACGCCCACATCCCACAGATAAATGAAAGAAAACCTGACTCATGCATCAATGCAAATAATTCCCCCTTTTTTCTAACAGCTTGATGTTTGAGTGCTCATCTTTCTCTCCTCTACAAAGTAACACACCCCAGCTTCTCTGGTCTTCCTGCATAAGTTAAATCCCTCACTTCTTGTGTCCTCTTATGTTTTCCCTGAAATTTTGACATCCATCGTCAAATGTATATTCCAGAACTGGACACAATCCTCAAGCCAAGGTTCAGACAGTGAGGTTTTATAAAGATTGAGCAGACTCTAAATCAAACAGTGCTGAAGAAAGCCATTCAGCCCATTGAGTCTGCACTGGATCTCTGATCATTTTATCGTAGGGCCTTTCTCCTGCCTTTTCCCCATAGCTCTCACATTGTTGCTTTATAATAAATCACCTAAGTAACCATCCAGTAAGGTAAAAATCACAGAACATGCCTGCCTCGCCCCAGCGCTCACTTTCTGGAGCACGTTTGTCGAAGCTAGGAGCAGGAGTGAGCCATTCGCCCTTGCTCTGCCATTAAACATGATCATGGTTGATCTCCTATCTCATTTCCATATTCCCATTTACTCCCCGTACTTCTTGATGGCTTTAATATCCAAAACATGATCTATCTCTTTCTTGAATATATTCCGTTATTTGGCCTCCACATACTGTGGTAGAGAATTCCACAGGGTCTCAAACCTTTGAGTGAAGAAATATTTTAGCATCTCAGACCTAAATGGCCCACCCTATATCCTGAGACTGTGTCCCCTGGTTCTAGACTCCTCCACTAGGGGAAACCTCCTCCCTGTATTTAGTCTATCCAGCTCTGTTAGAATGTTATACAATTCCATCAGGTCCCCTCCCATCCCTCTGAACTCTAGTGAATACAAGCCCAGTCAAACTTATCTGTCCTCATAGGACAATCCTGACAATATCAGTCCTGAGTGAACTGTGAAAACTTTCAACAACGTAATTCTTCCTTTCTTCAAATATGCATTGTGTCAGCAAAGAGCAAGCCGATATGGATAGCCAAGTGAAGTCATGATTGTAACTCATCTTGGCAGATATTTCCCAAATTCCTCGTGTTATGACACACCTCTGACTTGAACCTAGACCTTCTGACTCAGAGGTAGGGAACCCTTCAACCCACTGAACCCTTACTTGTCCTGTTAACAGGAGTCATCTGAGAGATCGAACCACATTCAAGTATAGCCACGTTGTTGTGAGTTACTTATTTTTCCCTATAGCATATTGTAATCCATTAACTTTTCTATAAAATTCATTCATGAAATGTGAACATCACACTTGATGCCCATCCCTAATTACTCTGGAACTATTTTCAATTCCAGATTTTATTCATTGAATTCAATTCCAGCAAATACCTTTGTAAGGTTTGAACCACGTCCCAGGGGAGTTAGCCTGAGCCTGTAGTTTAATTTGTACCATAGCATTAACATGACACCACTATCATTCCCAGAACCTAAGCCTCTTTGGACTATATGATAATACATACAGACACACACCCTATACATCTCACATTGTAGCAATTTTGAAATCGCAGTGCTTTTGTGATTCATAACCTGAAATTAATGAGTGCATTCCATTCTTACAGTTCACTGACCATATACTAATTGAACATGTTCTTAAAAACAATTAGATTTTATGGCTTTAAGTGGATATAGATCAGCCTTAGAATATGTATTGTTTCCTTTTTTTAAATCATTCATGGGACATGGGCATTGCTGGCTGGGCCAGCTTTTATTACCCATCCCTAGTTGCCCCTTGGAGACGGTGGTGGTGACCATCCATTTTGAACTGCTGCAGTTGTAGGTAACCCTACAATGTCAGTACAGAGGGAGCTTGAGGATTTTGACCCAGCTACACTGGAGGAATGGTGATAAATTTCCAAGGCAGGATGGTGAGTGGCTTAAAAGATACAAAAACCCCAGCCCTGATAAAACGTTGCATCTTCCAATTGCCAAGAAGTAATATCACAGGAGAGCTGCTCAAGTTTAGAAGTGGTTGCTTGTTTATGTGTAAAACTGTTATAAACCTCTTTGTCAAAGTACGTGCTAGAGATTATGAGGCATGAACCCAAGAAAGACCAGAGTGGGATAACAAGGTGTAGAGCTGGATGAACACAGCAGGCCAAGCAGCATCAGAGGAGCAGGAAGGCTGACGTTTCGGGCCTAGACCCTTCTTCAGAAAAGGGGGAGGGGAAGGGGGTTCTGAAATAAATAGGTAGAGAGGGGGAGGCGAATAGAAGATGGATAGAGGAGAAGATAGGTGGAGAGGAGACAGACAGGTCAAAGAGGCGGGGATGGATCCAGTAAAGGTGAGTGTAGGTGGGGAGGTAGGGAGGAGATAGGTCCGTCCAGGGAGGACGGACAGGTCAAGGGGGCGGGATGAGGTTAGTAGG